TCAATTATAAATTCCGTTGTTATATATTAAATGACCTATAGCTTTGTATTATTATTAGTTATTACTCATTTATCTTATGTATATAATTTATTCTATTGAAAAGGGTATTTTGGTCATCACATAAAAGGGAAGAAACCTACCATATTATTCCCACTTTTATAGATAGTATAGATAGAAGATCTTGAATTTCGAAAAACCTTTTGCTTCCAAAATCTCATGGATATTTTCTTTCAAATCTCAGCTGACCCTTTTGAAATAATTTTCAAGTAAAAATGATTTATTTTCGAAAATAAATTATCATTTTATAAAGGGCTAATTTTCGAAAATAAAGACCATATAAATTGGACTTATTATTTGATCCAAGAAAGAAGAATTTGGACCAATACTAGAAAGCCGTATGGAGGATCGTTCGGATCTCATTCTCGGGATAGTTCAAGGACACTAGGCCTCTTATGGATTCTGTCACTCCGGTCTTGTTTAATTTCGCCTCGATTAATTTGTCTAATAAAAACATGACTCAAAGAAAGACTATTAGATCAAATCAATTGTTTGTAAATCATCACATTCGAAAGTAACCTTTCGACTAACGATCTCCCCCTTAATGATGACAAACAATTGATGCTTTATAAAATAAAATCAAATTGAAGTGCAAAGCATAAAATTAGTTATACCAAACCTTAAGTGTAAGCTCCCCCTCAATATATGAGGTATGTCAAACCTTGAGCGCAAGCACCCCCTCAACGTCGGTCGATTCGTAACATAAACTCCCCCTTATTTTTCCAATGAGATAATAAAGATAAATAAAGCATCATTAATTCTTTCTCCCCCTTTGTCATCAATCAAGGGAGGATTTTCTATAATCTTCTTTGCAATGCTCAAGTTGATCATCATTCTTTTAGTCCCTTGCTTTTAATTTCAGACTTTCAAATTCCAGACGAACTTCCAGTACATGTTCCAGATCGTTTCTCAGAGTTGCAGCGGATTTTTCTTTAGCGGAAGCATAAGTACCAACAAGGATATTAGCTTAGCGTTGTTATCCAAAATTCCAGATGAATTTCCAGCAGTTTTTTGTCACTTCATTTTCTAATTCCAGCTGAACTTCCAGTTGAACTTCCAGTGACTTTTGAGTTTCAACTTTCGAATTTTAAGAGCATTCAAGTTATCCTATATGCCTGAAAATTTTATTTGCTCAAGGAATTCTTGGCACTTAAAGGATTAGAGTCATAAGTATATTATTATCACAAAATATTATGATACCATTTTTATTCATAAATCATGGAGGATTTACATATCAATAATTTACAACATGCAATGCATCGAAAAAAATTCAAATAATATTATTAGCAATTAAAACACTTACCATTTTCTTCAAATATATTTCAAATCAATTTTTGCATTTTGGTACCCAAATGAATTTACTGGTGGTTCCCATTTTATATGGACAAGAAAAAGATTTATGTTCAATTTTACCACAATAATTGCAAGTGTTATATGATAAAGATGATGCATTCGATAACTTGCTCAATTCCTTATAATGCGAGTGAAACCCAATTCCAACTTTATCTAATGACACATTTTGCGAGCCAAGTAATTTATCGAGATTTTCTTTGCCCTTAGTGAATTTTTCAAGGCATTTATTCAAATCAATAACCTCCTTTTCTAGCACAAAATTCTTTATGGATAAAGAAGATTTTTCTTTTTCGCAAATAGCTAGCTTTTCAATATAAGAATCTAATTTAGCTTCTATTTTTTATTTTTCATTATTGACAATAATAAATTTTCTTTTCAAGATATCATTCTTAGAAGCTAATTTTTCCAAATCTCTTCTACACTCATTTATCATTTCATGCCAATCGTCTTCACAATTAAAATCATCACATTCAAGGTCATCATGACATTCATCGAAATCATTAATCTTATTAAAGTAAGAAATACATACCTCTTCGTTTGTCATGAGACAAACATTTGCGATTTCTTCATCGGTCATATCCCCTTCGGATTCTTGATCATCCCAAGTTGTGCTTAATCCTTTGTGTTTTGACATCCGTTGGAACCGTTCACCTTTGTTGAGTAACGGGCAGTTGGGCTTTATATGACCGGGATTTTGGCATTGATAACACTTTATCTCACTCTCAAATGTTGAGGATTTTCCGGGGAGAATTTCGGGAGAAGTTCCGGTTATAATTTAGTAGTTGATTTATCCTTCTTGTAATCCTCGCGATCTCCTCATTCTTCTCGTCATCATGTAAGTCTTCCAAATCATTATCGTCATCCTGCATAGTGTTAGATTTAAAAGAAACCAATTTTTCTTTATTTAATTTTACCTCATCTTTTGCAAGGATGGTGAGCTCATGGGATGTGAGGGAACCGATAAGTTCAGCAATGCTCAGATTGTTCAAGTCCTTTGCTTCTTGGATTGCGGTCACCTTTGAAGTCCATTCTCGAGGCAAGGATCTCAAGATCTTTTTGACTTGTTCACTTTGAGAGTAGATCTTGCCAAGTGCCGTCAATGGGTTTATGATCTCCATGAAGCGAGCATACATTTGACTTATGGATTCTTCTTGCTCCATGTTGAACATCTCATATTGATGTACTAAAATATTGATCCTTTGTTCCTTTACTTGGGACGTTCCTTCATGGGTGAGTTGCAACATCTCCCACATATCTTTAGCTGTAGGACATGAACAAACACGATTATATTCATTTATAGTAAGAGCACAAGAAAGAATATTTTTAGCCTTTGAGTTCATGGACACTAAATATTTGTCCGCGGATGTGAGTTCCTTCCATTCCTTGGGCACTTTTTTGCCATTGATGTCTTTCATGGGAACGAATGGTCCTTCTAGAATAATTGTCCACAGATCGCAATGGATTGAAATTATGAATTCTTGCATGCGGTTCTTCCAAGTAGAATATGAAGTTCCATCAAAAAGTGGTGGCCTAGTATGAGATTGTCCCTCTGCAAAAATATAATTACTGAAAGAAGCCATAGGATCGTTAGCTCTTGGGTTGTTAAGCCCAACAATAAAAAATTAAGAGCACGAGGCTCTGATGCCAATTGAGAGAATAAATATGCCTAAGAGGGGGGTGAATTAGGCTTTTCAAAACCTTTTACTATTTTTGCAGAATTAAATTATTTCTAGAAAAATATATTTTTCTTTGATAATAAATATTTTGCAAACTTCTAAATTAATTCCGAATAAAGTTTTAGCAATAAACAATATATGAGTACGGAAATTTGAATACGATAAAATAAAGTGCGTAAAGTAAATGACACCGAATTTATAGTGGTTCGGAGAAATTCCCCTACTCCACTCTTCTAGGCCCTCAAACTTTTATTTCACGTGCCTCCAAGATCCTTGAATCCTCCACACGAAAAGGATGCGCTTACAAGACTCTAACGACTTTCGCACCAACGACGTGCTTACAAGAGACTCACTCTTTCGCACTTATCAATACGTGCTTACAAGAGACTAACTCTTTCGCACTCAACAAAAAACCTCACAACAAAGAAATGCTCTCTAAGAGCTTTACAAAATCCCTCTCAATATATATAATGAAACAAGTGATAAGCAAGAGGAGAATTTCGAATTTCCTAATAAATAACTCTCTATAAGCTCTTTTCGAAATTGGCTTGGAATGAATAAGCTTGAATGAATGGTCCACTATTTATAGGTGAAGCTCTTCATCTCTAGAAAGGAAATAATCAATCTTTAATCTCTTGATTGATTAGATGATGAGTGTGATTGATCTCCAGCTGATTGAGATCAATTAAATCACTTGAATATGGTAAGCATTTGAATTTTGAAACTCAAAGGAGTGTTCTTCCTTCAAAAACGATTTTCAGCAAAACATCTTCCAGCCAGCTTCAGCAACTTCCGGGTTAACTTCCAGACGGCTTATATATTTTTGAATCTTTGATTGAGGATTGATTTAAAACCTTCCAAGTCCGAAAATATGATTCTCAATCAGTTTAAGTCAATAAAAAAACGTTTTTCAAACAATTCAAATAATTTTGAATATTAGCCCATTTTCCAAAGATAGAAGATCTTTAATTTCGAAAAACCTTTTGCTTCCAAAATCTCATGGATATTTTCTTTCAAATCTCAGCTACCCTTTTGAAATAATTTTCAAGTAAAAATGATTTATTTTCGAAAATAAATTATCATTTTATAAAGGGCTAATTTTCGAAAATAAAGACCATATAAATTGGACTTATTATTTGATCCAAGAAAGAAGAATTTGGACCAATACTAGAAAGCCGTATGGAGGATCGTTCGGATCTCGTTCTTGGGATAGTTCAAGGACACTAGGCCTCTTATGGATTCTGTCACTCCGGTCTTGTTTAATTTCGCCTCGATTAATTTGTCTAATAAAAACATGACTCAAAGAAAGACTATTAGATCAAATCAATTGTTTGTAAATCATCACATTCGAAAGTAACCTTTCGGCTAACAGTTTGCAAATGATTATTTAAAAGCAGAAGTTAGTGATTGTGAGTTAAGTCAGTTTTAAGCGCTTATTTCTAAAAGTTGGGGGTGTTTGCAATTATTCCGGAAAATAAACTTAAATAGAAAAAACAGGGTTAGAGGTGCTTTTAAAAAAATAGCTTAAAGCAGATTATTTTAAGAGAAGCAAAAGCAAAAGTTGATTTTGCAAACACTTGAAAATAGATTATGAACAAAAAAACTCATAATCACTTTCAAAAAGCGTTTGTAAACACCACCTTAAATAAAAGAAGAACTTGAAACAATTGTTAAGACTATCTCTCTCTTTTTTTTTTTTTTTTTTTTTTTTGATAATTGTTAAGACTACCTCCATTCATAAGTCATAAGTCATAACCATAGGGCATATCCCAACTACAAAAGGTAACATCACAATATATTGTGGTAGATAATTACATATTTGTCCATGCAAAAAGGAGAAGGGATGATTGAATTCACAAAAGGCATTTCTTGAATATCTTCTTCAAGATTCCACCAAACAAGATGTTCAACTTACTAATCATCACCACTACTCGACCAACTTGTTTCTGGAGTTGAATCCGAACGAGACCAATCATCAGTGATTCTTACAGAATGCTTCACACTGCAAAAAGATTAACATTCTGGTTATGTTGAATACAAGAAGATGTTGATAGTCAACATTGACATTTTGAATCATTCAAACGAATAAAATCTATAACATGCTACCAAATAAAACGAAAAAGCCAACCAAAAAAAAAAAAAGAAAAACAACCATTATATGTTCTTGAACCCCCATCAACAATGTAACGAAGAAAAATAAAGGAGAAAGAAAGCACATCAAGAATTGGGAATGGAGACTTTATTCAATCAACAACATAAGCATCCAATAGTAAGTGCAAGACTAACATAAGCTTTGGAAAAAAAAATGAAATTTCAATGTTTCATGGTAGGTAACGTAATAGATCCATCGGTCCAATAACCGGACTCTTAATAATAGAAAACTTTCCACGGAATATTTTGGACTAATGGATCTCAATTCTCAAATCATATTAGATCGAATAACTTTTAAACTAGGATAAGCACTAAGGTTCTCTCATCCTTAGATATTTACCATTGTCTTTCAGAATTTGAACGATATGCAATCCTAAAATCATCTAAACAAAAGATAATTAATCGACTGTAAAATATAATCATCCAACAAAAAAAAAAGAAAACAAAGGGAAGCTAGGTGGAGTAGTTTCACCTTGCATCTGCCTTGTTCCTCTTCCTCTTCATTTCTGATGTACTTTTCCCCGCAACAGAACAACTTTCATCCAGTAAAAAAAGGCTCCCAGGCAAACTTTGAGAAGAGAAATACTCCGGGAGCCCACGAATCGTAACTTTCTTCGCAGAATTTTTCTCGACATCAAACCAAAAAAAGTCTTCACCATGCTGCATAAAGAACTGCCCTTTGGTCTTGAAATAAGCAATAGGCCTGAGGCACTCCATGAAACCGATACTACCTAGTTCCCGAAACGAAAACAACTTCACCCACGACTCGTGGACACCGTATTCTTTCATCACCCATACATCCAATCGATCCATCGTGTAGTAGTAACTCACAACCAAGCATCCACCTAAAGCATCTAGATGCATTCTGGAAGGTTCACCTGGCCCGGTGCCGTAGGGATGGCGCATTAATTCGTAAGTTTCGGTCCGAAATACGAACACGGTTATGATGTAGCGACGAATATAATGCCAGTGCAACGCGCCGTTAAGAAAAACACCCGGCTTCATACTGTAATAATTACATTTGCAATCCTTGATTATCCTCCAAGTATCCGATTTTAGACTGTAAACGCTAGTTTGGTACACGGGTTTACGAAGACCAAGGAGTTCATCTACCCTCATTACTTTGTAGTCATCCGAAGCGGAATCGTACCCGAGCCCAGTGGTGATTAAGCATGATTTGGTGTTGATGAATTTGGGCAGCTTGTGAAATTGTCGGGTTAACGGGTTCCATATTGCCCAAATTTTTTTTACGTCGGAGTGGGAGAGGAGAATTAGACCGTTGCACGATGCCGCCGGCAAAAGATGCGCTCGAGGGACACCGGCGCGGTACACTGTCTTCACAGGACTTACGTCGATCACTTGGTGGGCATCGTTATTGTAGTTCAGGGAGTCGAGAGATAATGAATGAAGGCGAGTACCGTCTGAGTTTCTGATGAGGAGAGTGGCGGAGGAGTACTGTTGGTTGTTGGTGTGGGATCTGATGAAGGATGGATCGTCCATGAGGCGGCGCCACTCCTTGCAGACGGTCCTGAAGCGGAGGAGAGAGTCGGCGGGCACTCGCCGGAGTATGTTGTGGACGAGTTCCGAGGGAATGTCCGACATTTTTAGGAATTGAAAACAAGGGGTTAGGGCTTTCAAGGTTTTGACTTACAAGGCACGCTTCCCTGCCTTTGGCTTTCAAGTCCAACTTCCCGCCAAATTATTCCAAATTCCCGCCACATTTTCAGAGGTCATCCTTTCAAAATCACTTCAAAATTAGAACTGTCAATTGAATCCCAATTACTTCAAGCTCCATGGCTCGACCCGAATTTATTTGAGCTCGGTCTAATTGATTGTTAGTCGTGTTGAATTTTGAGCCTACTATTAATTAAACACGATTTTTTGACGGGGTCATTAGCAATAAACCCCTCATATAGATAATAAATGGTGATATGTCCACCCCTTAAATCTTTCTTTGTGATAACCCCTAGAATTTGTATTCCCAATTCTACCCTGATGTCAATTTTATTCATTTTTTCTCTCTTTCCATAACAATAATCTAATTCCTAAATATTTGCTTCCAAATTCCTAAAAATTTGCTACCAAATCAAAAAAATGATTTTTTTATTATTTTCGGATTTTTAGCCATTTTTTATTTATTTTTATTTTTTAATATTTTTTTAATAAAAATATTTTTTTTAATTCCTAAAAATCTCAATTATTCCTTTTTTTCTCTCTTTCCATAACAATAATCTAATTCCTACAAATCTGCTTCCAAATTCCTAAAAAATTGCTACCAAATCAAAAAAATGATTTTATTTTTTTATTATTTTCAGATTTTTTAGCCATTTTTATTTATTTTTATTTTTTAATATTTTTTTCTAATATTTTTTTTTTAATTCCTAAAAATCTCAATTATTCCTTTTTTCTCTCTTTCCATAACAATAATCTAATACCTAAAAATCTGCTTCCAAATTCCTAAAAATTTGCTACCAAATCAAAAAAATGATTATTTTTATTATTTTTTTTTATTTTTTATTATTTTCGGATTTTTAGCCATTTTTAATTTATTTTTATTTTTTAATATTTTTTAAACAAAAAATTGAATATTTTTCTCGACAGATTTACAACTCCTAATATGACTATAGTTGAATATGACTATATGTGACTATGTTGACATATTCTTTCTTTATATTGCAATTTTTTACATTTTCAACTTAAAAAGTTCCGATTATATAGTGTGGTATAGTCATGTTTACCAAATTATATAAAACAACGAAGATTCCCTATTGTTTACGAAAACAATCCAATCAAAACCCATACAAAAAATAACAATTTTGAATCTAGTTTTAGAAGTCAACTTGAGAACGAGAAGATAGAATATATTCGAATATGACTACAGTCATATTCAACAATAGTCATATTCGAATATGACTTCAGCCATATTCGAAGAATACATAAACATGACTATAGTCATATTCGAACATGACTGTAGTCCTGTTACTGCTGTTGTTCAGATCTGAAAAAAAAATCGAAAAATACATAAATATAGATAGAAAAATAACGAAGGAGAGTCATGGGGAGTCGACGACAGCGGCGATGGTGGCTGTGGTGAAAGAAAGAGAGTGAGAGAGGCGGCGACGGCGGTGGTGGTGGTGGTGGACAAATGTGGAAAAAAAATAAAAAAAATGAGAAAGATAACGAAAAAGAGAGAAAGAGCCTTACGTGGAAACGAAGGAGGAGGCGGCGGCAACGAGCGACGACGGTAATGGTTGTGTACAAATCTTTTTGGAGACGATGGCGATGTAAAGAGAGAGAAATCGAGAGAAACAACGAACACGAGAAAATAATAAATCACTAATCGAGTGAATCAACAATAGTCATATTCGAACCAGAGTAGTCACGTTGATGCTGCTGTTTCAGATCTGGAGAGAGAAAAAAAGAAAAAAATCGAAAATAACGAAAGGGAGGGAGGGGGAGGCGACGACAACGACGGTGAATGACAGAGAGAGTGGGGATGTGGCTACGGTGGTGGTGGTGAACAAATCTGGAAAAAAAAAAAGAAAAAAAAACCCTGAGAAATCGAGAGAAAACGAAAAAGAGAAATCTCCATGTAATGCATCCGACGAAGGGCGGCGACGAGGTGGGGGAGGCACCGCTGCCACCACTTGTACGAAGGAGGGCCTCCTGCATTAGGTTTTGGCCGACCGGCGGTTGTAAGGTATTTTTGGCTCCGACGGTGACGAGTGCACGAACAACGGTAACTATGATGAGTGGACTACGGCGGTGGTGTACAAATCTGCAGAAAGTCGGAAAAAGAGAAAAAAAAAAAAAAAAAAAAAAGAAGAGGCGAGATTGAGAACGATAGAGAGAAAAAAAGAGAGAGAGAGAGGGGAGAGTGAAAGAGTGAAATAAATTATATCACGTTAAAAACCTAATCACATAAGGGCACTTTAGTCTTATCATGATTGGTTATGGGGGTCTCACTAATTAAGAATGAAACTTGGGTGTAGGCAAAAGTCTCTAATAGTCAATTGGGTTTAGCTCAAAATATTTTTCATTTGAGGGGGGTATTGCATATTTCCCCTTTTTTGACAAGTTGAGTTTAGATATTTAATTAAAAGAGTATTAGTTGACATATTTATAAATGTTTATTTCCAAGTTACAACTAACGCTATTTGACAAAAACAATTTGAAAAACACTTTGCTAATGTATAACATTGAACTTATAATCATATCTTGAAATATTTTTCAAACTTATATCAAGAGTATTTTCACCAATCTAAATATTTTCAAAAGTAAATAAACATTTATGTGTTTTCATTGATTTAAAGCATTTATAATAATTTATCTCATTTGAAAGGGTTAGTATTGGAGACACCCCTCAGTTCAAATTTAATTAGATGTGAGGGACAACCTCAAATAGAATATTTTAATTAAATTCTTAGTTGAAAATAAAATTTGACCAACATTCTTTTATTTTTATTTAACAAAAAAATACTCTTATTATACCTAATAAAAATCAACGTTTCTTTCTCTCTTTTTATTTCTCTATATCTCTCTCTCCCTCTCATCTGCCGCCACCATGGCCTTTTCTCTCTTTTTTCAATTTTCCATCACCCCCACCATGCACCATGGCCTTTTTCTCTCTTTTTTCATTGACCCCAGCCCTTCCTCTCTCCTTCTCTTTATCTCTCTTTTTCTCTATTTTTTGTAGTGGTGCTGGCTTGGATGTATTAGTTGTAGGAGTTTTTTAGATCGGATCTTGGTGTGGGGGCGGCAGGCGGCGGGCGGCGGTGGTCGTTGGGGGCGGCGGTGGTTTTGGTCACTAGGGGCGGCGGGCAGCGGTGGTTTTGGTCGCTAGGGGCGGCGGGCAACGGTGGTTTTGGTTGCTAGGGGCGGCGGTGGTTTTGATCGCTAGGGGCGGCGGGTTGCGGTTGTTTTGGTCGCTGGCGTCGGTGGTGGTTTTCTTCGATGATGACAGTAATTTTTTGTTAGAATTTGATGTTGGGTTTGGAGAAGAGAAAGGCTAATTAAGATGGAAAGTGAAACATAGAAAAAGGGGATGGAGGTGGAGGTGGTGGCGGATCTAGGGTTTGATATTGGATGGGTGCGAATGACTACGGGTGTCTATGAATTACTATGAGTGTCAACGAATGGGTAGCGACTAGGATTCAAAATGTGAGCTAGGGTTTTAAGAGTATGTGACTACGGATTACTATGGTTCCTATAGGTGTCTATAGTCGACTACGACCGATTTCTTTTTTTTTTTTTAAAACATTCACAATTTTCAATATCAGTAAATTATAGTATACCATAGTACACCATAGTATTTGAAAATCTGCTGTTTTATTTAACAAAAACGAAAAAGAAAATTCTAATTTTCAGTAAAATGTTAAAAATAAATAAAAAAATGAAGTTGTTTATAATAATGTAAAAAAATGCTAGAGTGAAATATGAAAAAATAAAGACGACAAAGTCTATAAAAATAAAATAAAATATGTTATATGAAAAAATAAGATATTAAATGCATAATAAAAAATGATAAATGCAGTTTGAATTTTACTAAATGCAAATTTTGAATTTGTAAGTGGAAGGACATTTTTGGAATAAATTTAATAAAGAATGAAAGCAAATGTTTATTTTGACTTGTCATTTAGTTCTAATTAATTTTATCACCAATGACCTATATCTTAAGCCCCTATTTGAAAAGACATTAAAACTTTTCAAATATTCATATTGCACTTTTCATAAAAAGAAAAAAGAAAAGATTAAATTTATACTATTAGTTAGGTTATCATAATCCTTATTTATTTTAAATATTACTAAAAAAAATTAACTATATGTATAAGATTTATATGTTATTGATTGAGTATTAATTAATAGTTCATTCATACGTATGTGACGATGGTGGGATTAGATCACCTTAAGTAGTTGAGGTACGATGAATTGGGAGAGCAATCTGGATCACTGGCTCACGAGTTTGATGTTCTTGAGATACCTTGATGATCTTGAGATTCCTGCGAGCAAAATGCGCGTGAACTACTTAAGGTGATCTAATCCTAGCATCATCAGTATGCAAGTATAATCTCATATAATTAGAACTTATGTCTTAAGCCTAATTTAAACTCAACTCTCGAAGTAATATATGAGTCGAGTTTGAGCCTATAATTATAAAGTCCGACATTATGTGAGTTTGAGCTTCTATGTATTAAAAGTTAAAACCAGATAATATTTATCTTTGAGCCTACCAAAATCACATGCCCTTGACTTTCTCTTCTACTCACAAGTGATTTGTGGTGACGTAATAACCGTAGCAAAAAAAATCATAGTAATAAGCAAATTTTCTACTAGTGCTACCAAGCCGAAAATCTGTTAAGATTTACAATATGCTAATAAAATCAGTGATACATACAGAGTGCTTCACCCTGCAATAAGATAACCATCCTGGTTAATAATCAGCACTTATAATTTGTACAATTAAAGGATTTTGGGTGAACATTCAACGCATATATTTTTAGGGGAAAAATATCATAGATTTTTCTTTGATAGATTTATAATTAGTAATTTACTTTTTCCTTAGGATGATTAGTATATATAATTCATCCATCAATCTCTTGCTTGGGTAAGAATTAGTTGTGAGTGGATTCTGGTTCGTCGGAAGAGAAAAAATTACTACTTGATCGCAATATGTGCACTTGTGTGTTGGTATTTGTCCAACATAAACAGATTCATCTGTTATCTTAACATAAAAAGAATAACACCCAGGGAAGTACAAGCTCTTTTTTTAGGGTGTTTATTTTCTACTGTAATTATTGTTTAATTTAGTGTATATTTTCGATATACTGCGTGTTTTATTTTTCATTGTGTGTTAGTGGTGTAGTGTGTTTCTTTTCTAAGTGAGTGTTTACGGTGTAGTGCGTATTTTTTGTTAGTGTGTGTTTTTGTGTTAATTGAATTCGCAAACCTAGAGCTGCATTTTCGTTAGAAGGAAGTGAATGACGCATCAAATGTTTTGGCCAAGTTGGCTTCCATTTTGAAAAATAGTGAGGTGTTTATGTTTTAATCATGGTTGTCAAAACCGGACCGAACTGGCCGGTCCGACCGGCAAGAATCAATGGAACCGGAAAACCGGGCGAAGAACAAGGTTTTAACTCGAAATAAGATGAGGTGTCGAAATTATAAATTTTATTAAATATAACAAAACACTAAAAAAAAAAAGGAATAGATGGAACAAGAGTAATAGACGAACGAAACATTCCGTTACTTAAATGAGCAAGAACGTGGAATAATTGTTAAGATCACTTACATTCATAACCAACAAAGTTAGTAGATAATTACATATTTATCCCTACAAAAGGCCGTCATTTCTCGAGTGTCGTCTTCCACACGTCCATTACTTTCACCAAAAACACGTTGCTCAAAGTACTAATCAATAATTACTGGACCAATTTGCTTTTGAAGTTGAATCTGAACGACTCGGAATATCGGCTATACTTACAGAATGCTCCACCCGACTCCGAATATCGGTTATACTTACAGAATGCTCCACCCTGCAACAAGATAAACATGATTGAATAACTAATATTAGAGTGTGTGTGTGTGTGTTTAACTAAATTGAACGTTCCACATATGTTCATATAGAGAGCACAACTTTCGATTTCTCTGCATTGTATTAAAAGTCCACCGCCTTCGACAAAGGCCAGAAAAAAAAAAGGAGAGACAAAGAAACAGCATCAAGACTCGAAACTTTACTCAGTAAACGACATGAGCGTACAAACACAAGTGCAGCATTAACATAAGCTTCTGATAATCGGACGAAAATGCACTTCACCCCCTACAATTTTTTTTTTCATTTTTGCACTTTTCCCCCTAAAAATTCAAAAAAGGGACACTCTCCCTTCGAAATACTATTTTGGTTTAACTTTGCCCCAGAAGCCAATTTTTGGAAGGCATTGTGCAAGAAAAATGACATTTTACAGGGGCAACGTGCAACAAAAATACTCAATTGCGATGAATAATTCATCGGAGGTTTGCTATCGGGGCAGTGTGCAACAAGAATAACATTTTGAAGGGGGCACTCACTTTTAAAATTATTTAGTGAATGACGTGCAATTTGCCCCCGATAAAACGAAGTTCATCTCTTAATCTCAATAAATTATCGACACAACTTCTTGAACTAATATGACATAAACTAAGGTTTTGATCCTTATACACTTGCAATCCTAAAATCAGTTAAACGGCAGTTAATTAATCAACTGTATAAAATAAAATCATCTAACAAAAAAAGAAAAAGAAAAGGCTAGGCGGAAGAGTTTTAACCTTGCATCGGCCTTGTTCTTCGTCGTCTTCCTCTTCCTCTTCATCCCTGCTGTGATTTTCACCGCAGCGGCACAACTTTCATCGAGCCGAAAAAGACTCCCCGGCATGATTTGAGACGTGAAATCATCCGGCAGCCCGTGAATAACAACCTTCTTCGCCGAATGATTCTTAATATCCAACCAAAAAAATTCCTCGTCGCGCTGCATAAAAACTCGACCTTTGTTCTTGAAATAAGCAAGAGGCTTCAGTCTAATACCGATACTACCTATTCCCCCGAACGAAAACAGCTTCACCCACGATTTCTCATCTCCGTAATCTTTCATCATCCATCCCTCCATTCGAGGAATCAAGTAGTAGAAACTCATAACCAAGCACCCACCCAACACGTCTAACCGAGTCTCGAACAGTTCTTTCGAATTCGGGGGTAAAACGGGCATTGAAAATTCTCTGTACTCTTCAGTTTCAAGATCAAGGGCAATTATAATGTCGTGCAGCGATAGCCAGTGGATTGCGCCGCCGAGAAAAATACCCCTAGTGGGCCCCACCCAGGAAATATCGTACGGGCAATCCTTAATTATCCTCCAAGACTCCATTTTTAGACTGTAAACACTAGTTTGGTATACGGATTTACCGTGACGGAACAGCCGATCTATCCTCACAACTTTGTAGTCGTCGGAAGCGGAATCATACCCGATCCCGCTACCCATTAGGCCCGTTTCGATATCCGGTTCGGGCAGCTCGTGGAAAGTCCGGGTTAACGGGTTCCATATGACCCACGTCTTGTTGGTTCTGTAATGGGAGTTGAGAATCAGACCGTTGCAAGAGGGCACCGGCAGAGCGGTGGCGCGTGGCACGCCGGTGCAATACACCGCCTTGACGGGGGTTACATCAATCGTTTGTTCGGCGTCTTTGTAATTTAGGGAATCCAGAGTTAGAGAACAAAAGCGAGTGCCGATTGAGTTTCTGATGAGGAGAGTGGTGGAGGAAGATTGATTGGAGGCGTGGGTTCTGATGAAGGATGGGTGGTCGATGAGGCGGCGCCACCCCTTGCAGACGGCACGAAAGCGGAGGAGAGACTCGGCGGGGAGGCGGCGGAGTATTTCATGGAAGAGTACAGAGGGTACGTCGGACATTTTTTTGTCGGAGCAAAGAAATGTGAATGAAGGGTTTGGGGATTGTGTTTTCTTTTTTCTACGAGTGTGGGTGTGTGTGTCAGTGCGTGATAGGTATGGATAGAAATTGCGGGAAATTTGAAAGTTTCTGAAAATTAAAAGTACCCTTTTCCCTCCCTCGTTTTGGAAAGGGTCTCGAAATATATGTTTATTTTAGAATTAAACTAGATTTTTTGTCCGTGCGATGCACGCGATTGAAGTAAGACTAATACAAAGTAAAGTTCAATTTAAATGACAAAATTGAAGTTTCAATTCATTTTGGTATTTTGTTATATATATTGATGGTATCATTGCCGGTTGTATTCATTTCAACTGTCTGATGATTGAACATACAATAGCAGTATGAAAAAACAAGTTTGTTCGGGTATGAATTTGTGAACTTCCGTGTATTTGTAGACTTCTTATTTTCGATGCTTACTTCACATAAGATAAGGAATGCGTGTGCGCTAATGTGTGCATTGGGATCTGTCCGTGCGTGCAGTGCAGTTTATGTGCAAATAAAATCATAACTCATTACTAAACAAATTATATCTTCCATGCTTATGTCTGATGTGTAAATTTTTTATCATTTTTTCGGGTACCATAGTATCATAGGATCGGATGTAGAATTATGTCTCAAGGCGTCGTGGCTTGAAGGTTCTAGATTGAAGCTACTTGGGAACAATAAAGACGTGCACGTGAAGCGAATGAAGGGGACACAACCCAGTGGCTTAAGTCTGGCAATATCTTATTGTTCAATCATACATTCATTTCTTTCTGAATAGTTTATATGTCCAAACATCGATTTTCTCATAATTGATTTTTTTTACATTGTTGCCGAACACTTTCTTACATAAGTCTGCCACTAAGTCTGGCAATATCTTATTGTTCAATCATACATTCATTTCTTTCTGAATAGTTTATATGTCCAAACATCGATTTTCTCATAATTGATTTTTTTTACATTGTTGCCGAACACTTTCTTACATAAGTCTGATGACGTTAAATAGTTTTATATTGTGCTAACAACGGAATATGATACTCTAAATATCGTTAATAAACATGGTATAAAGTGATTAAATAGCCTATTAAATTTTATATTCTTTTTTTGGAAAACATGATTGTATGGACTTGAAAGACTTGAATTATCAATTTAAAATATATATTTTCCGTCAATTAGAAATATGTATTCACCGTGCATCGCACGGGTGTAATACTAGTACAAAGTAAAGTTCAATTTAAATGACAAAATTGAAGTTTCAATTCATTTTGGTATTTTGTTATATATATTGATGGTAATTCCCTATCCATAAATTGTTTTTGTCATATTTATAAATTTAACTTTATAGTTTTTATGCAATATGATTGTTTATTTATCTTATCTCAGTTAATGTTGAAGTTTGACGAATTTTCTTCTTTATCACCCTCATAACGTGCCTCAGTAAATTTATTAGTAAATCAATGATGCCATTAAATCTCAAGAGTTTATCAGGAGCAAACTTTACTTTTATTAATAAGACTAGCATTTTCTTCCCGTGTCTTATTTTAAAAGAAAAAATAATCAATTTAATACATAATAAGAAAATATAGTACACTAAAATAGTAAAATTTAATAATGTAATATTACTCATATTTTATATAACATTATATTTTTTAAATCGTACGTATTAAGAAGTATAATCCAAATTAGAGAGAAAAAATCAAAAATAAATAACTACTGAAGTACCATTAGGGTAGGATTCTTCACTGTTTAGTTTTAATTTTGATAATTGTTAAAAATTATAGTTAGAAATTAGTAGAGAAAAAATAATAAAAATAAATACTTACATAAATATCATTAGGATTTTGTTAGGGTTGCCCATCGTTTCTTTCTTTTATATATAAGATAAAAACCAAATATTTTTTTATCAAATTAATATTAAGTAAAAATGACAATTTTGGTGGGAAAAAATACCTAAATTTGGGGCGAAAAAATCTGGATACTTAACGGATTTATTAAACTTGATTATATTAAATATAGTAAAATAATAAAATAAATTAATTAAATAAATGAAAATTATAATTTATAACTATCAAATGAGCGGGGAAAATTTCCTAGGGTTTAACAGAATCAACTTTACTTTTATTAATAGGGGCTATTTGATAAACACCCTTCATGGCATTTTGACTTCTTAATAAATCCAATTTTAATAGTTGATATTTGCCATAAGTCCAATCTATGCAAAATACCCTATATGCCCCAATTAACTATTCTAAGAAATTATAAAAAAAAAATAAAAAAAATTATGTTGATAAATTCAAATCTTGCTCCGAATCTACACCCAAATTTCCTCCAAAAATTATGGCCCCAAATCACGCTCCAGGATTTATGCCCCAAATAACGCTCCCAAACCAACTCGAAAAATCTCGTTTTTACTTCTTAATTTTTTATTTTCGATATTTTCTTAAGATTCTGTGCGATTTTGTTTTTAAAAAAAATTATGTAGCACCCTCCTCGGGTCGGGCAATAAATCGAACCGGTTTATCGAAATACTTTATTTAGATAGCGGAAGTAAAAGGATCTCTTGGTAATTATTAAAACTTTCGAGTAGGACCAAAATGTAATTAATGAAAATCTCTTTTTAGGACATTTGAAACTTTTGGAAACCTTAAGAATTTCAAAAACTTTCTTAGGGTTATATTGGTTGTCTAAACTTTTTCGTTTCGAAATAACTTTGGAAAGGGAGATTAATATTCGAGTGCTACATTTATCTAACTTTATGTCTCATTTTTTGTTCGAAAAGAAATCAGAGTTTAAAGGCCTTTGGTGAGTAAAACTTTTTGCGTAAGAAATATAATTACTAAAATAGGCGGACCAACTATATTAATCATTCCAAAATAAGGCCCGTACTAATATAAGAGTTCATTTCTCCTAACGAGGAAATATTAGAGTTTAAGAAAACGAAAATAAGGAAATTGTTTTTAGTTTACATCACCAAAATAAAACAAGCATAATTTATAGACCCCTCGTACGATCGTCAAAAGCTCGGCCAAGACTTCGATCCACTACTCGGTCTATTCCGGCGAGGGATTACTACTACTACATGCAATCAAAGAAGTATCTATATGAGCTATTAAGCCTAGTAAGAAATCCGAATGGATAACGAGGTTTTAAAATATCGTTTTACGTATTTATATTAATATATACACATAAGCATCACATCTTACCGTTCGTCGGCAAACGAACACACACAAATACTTAATTTCATTTAAGCACGTAAATTGACTCAAACACTGAAATTACCAAATTACCCTTTTGTGCACATGCATGAATGAAAATATTTTCTGTTGTTCGGATCCGTGAAAAATTAACTTCTTTACTTGGTTGATAAGCATATTATTCTGAGCCCGTTCTTTTGGTGGAATCAAACCACCCCTTTATCTATAGTAACTATGGTTGGAATACCGGGCCCCCGTATCCCGACTTATCCAACCCAAGCATTCCATTAACCTTTTCTTTCGTAAAAAATGAAATCTCTTTTTATGCATGACCATGAGATTAATGAGACTCTATTATGAAAATGACCATTTTATGACATCACAAATATCAATCAACGAACATACTAACACATAATTATCCACATAGACACGGCAGTCACACACACATGACACACACACACACACACACACACACACACACACACACACACACACACACACACACACATATATATATATATATGAACATTTAAGCATAGCACATAATTCACAAAATCATTATAACAATATATTATATATCTATATATCATAAATCACACACACAACACACACACGGCACACACACATACACACATAAACATGCAGCCCCAAAACACACCTAAAATAGCATTAAATTATCAAACCATGCCCTTAAAGCACCAATATCTTTTTTTCCTTTCATTAATGGGATTTCCCCCACTTTATTTCATTAAATGTCTTAAAATTCTTGCAGCCCCTTAACATAGTTCAACTGCAGATTTTAAGTCCATAAATTCACATTCTCACAATTAATACTCAAGACATAATAATTAAAACACAAAAGTTCCATTTATGACACATGCACAACCAATATTTCAACATAATAGCAAATGATCTTTAAAAATTCTCAATTTTAGTTATAGTCTTCCTAACTGACTAAATGAGCAGATGCAAAAATAATTTTGCAGTTTCCTCAAAAATCGAATTTTATGAAAAATAAAATACTAAGCAAGTGGTGTTTAAGCCAAAAAGTGATTTTCCCAACAAATACTAATTCCAAACTTTGGCCAAATAGCAAATAACAAAGTTCCACTTACTCCTACTGAGATTTTGAAGATTCAAACATTTTTCATGCTGAAATTTCGAAAAATTGCAGATTAGCCCTAAAGATTTATAGATCTACACATGCAACCCCAAAAATCTTGAAAACTCAGTTTCTTTTTCCTAAATTCCCAAATTTCAAAATATTAAATCTTTAACCACAAAATACTTAGATTCACAGATTATAACATGGGTTAGACATGCAAGAACACAAATATCAAGATAAGCACAAGATTTCGGATTTTTCACAAAAATCCCTAATTTTCGAAAAAATGAGGCAATCTTTTAAGTAGCTTTGAAAACTCTTTTTCCATACTAAAAAACCCTTCGATTGCAGCAAGAAATTCGAGATTTGTTACCTAACAAAAGAGTGTTGGCCGAAGAAAATCCTTCAAAAGAAAAGAGGGTTTTTAGAGGAAGAAAAGGAAGAAGAAAAAAATGAAGAAAATGAAGATACAATGTTACCTCCTTCAAGAAGTGGCTCCAAAATTGAACCCAGCTAGTTGAATGGAGAAAGTAAGAGCTTTGATATCAAAGTTGGGAGGAGTTTTGATCTCCCGTAAGAGGGCAAGTGTTTTTTATGGTGTTTTTGGCATACTCAATGGTGAAACTTATATAGGGGATTTTAATTTTGCATCTTGATTTCTCTATTTTTTTTTCTTGAAGAAAATTTAGGTGGTGGCCGATGGAGGTGGTGGTGCTTC